CTTTGGCATTGCCTTTCTTTGGGATTTGAATGAAAACTGACCTTCTCCAATCCTGTGGCTACTGCTGGTTTTCCAAATTTGCTGGCATATTAATCCAACAACCTTGACTATATGAAAGCAAAGCTGTACATGTACTGGCAAAAGGGCTGAGTTCTCCCAGCATCAAGAGACCTGACCTTAGATTTTTTAGCTATTCACTTCAATTTTCTATTGCTTAAGCACACAGATCTCTCTGTTTGCCTTTCTTATTTGATGTATTTGCTATTCTAAAAAAAAAAATCTCAGAAAAGAAATGTAGATCTAGTTTTAATTTTGCTCCTGCAAAATAGTTCATCTTTCAGACTTTATACTTTGATACTATAGTCAAACTTCTCTGTCTTTAGCAGAACAAACAAACCAAATTTATAGCCTCATGGATGTTTAAGGCTTTAGGAGTACTGAGTGTTTCATTAATCCTAAACACTGCATTCAAGTATCCAAACATCTTGAATTATAAAGGGCATTTTTAACAGGAAGACAAATAATTACATTACCTTTAGTCTGAGCATTTGATCAAGAAGTTTCCTGTCACATTTAGGCAGGAATTTCTATTTAGATTACTAGTCAGATAGATGCCCTATCATCTTTTTAATCAAGCTAACAACTCTTCAGTCAAGGTTTCAATGAAATCAAAACACATATAGGAACACACATTTTATAAATAGGAAAAATGCAGGTCATGACACAGTACAATTAACTGTTTGCTCTTAGGGGAAAGGCTCTCATTGTTTCTTTAATAAAATTTAAAAAGTAAATTAAAAACCACTATAATTCATTTCAGGTGTATCTTTCAGGCATACAGAAACATGGTACTAGTCTATAAAGTAATTCACAATCTATACATATTTGATAAAAAAGCTTCTTAAGTACTCTTTGTTTTTTTAAATGATACCCTCTCATCTTTCTTTAGCTGCATGGATTCTCTTTTTCTCCCCAAAGTGCTCCATCTATGAAATTTTATACACGAAGTCAAATTACATAAATCATGTATTTCTAGCAGTAACTAGTCAGAATATAGCTAATCTTTTAGCTCTCCCACTGCTAGACCATGGCAATACTGATTAAAAAAATAATATAAAATAAAGGCCTTCCCTTTTTGAAGATTGTCCCTAGCTTCACAGATGCTTAACTGGCAGTTTGAGGCAGAAGTGCTTGCAGGTAAATGGAAGAGTGAAATAATGCTAATTTTGGTGTTTCTCTAAATATATCAACACTCTCGCATCAAGAGATAGCCCAGAGTGTGTTTCCCTACCTCTTAACCCTTAACTAATTCTTAGCGCCAAGGATCCTGTGGCCTGGTTTCTATTGAAAAGTTGTTTAAAAATCCAGAGAGATGAAGTGTTTTCTTTTCTGGATAAAATGTTCAAATTTTTATTAAAAAAAATATTATTATTCTCTAATTTAAATAAACACTCAGGTAATTCTTAACTTTGAAAAGAAATTTAATTATCAAGGACAAAAGCTCCCTCTTTTTGTTGAAAAGCTGAACAAGTTTTCTACTGTTTCTTTTTAAGTGGAGGCCTCTCATAATGTTCCACCCTCAATAAGAAAACTCTGGGGTGGACCCATCAGCTCTGGGGACATCATTATTTTTCAGGATGATTGGTGATTAACAAATGCATTATATCATCAACTTGCATTTATTAAGTGCCCAAATGAACATAATGTTATGCTGCATGCTGTATGAGGCAAGTTAAATACACAGTCTCTACCCTCTAGAAGGAAATTATTTCTATTTATCAGATAGCAGCATGATGTAATCTATGGAGCATTGAATGAGAGCAGATTTTATTCATGAGAGTATCACTAACTGAAACATATCCTTTAGCTACTCCTTAGGCAAAAAAATGAAGAACTAGAAGAATTACTCTTGTTTTTTGTCTAGGTGTTCTAATAATGACTCTAAATCTCTGCTTCATGTGACAAAGGGATAACCTAGCTACCTTAAAATAAAATTTAGGGAAATTTCTATTTTATCCAGTAAATTAAGGTGATTATAGCAGAGATTCCCAAAGAGTAGCAAACTTGTCATTGTCTAAAAATAATTTTAGGGAGTACAAAAAAAACATTTTAATAATAAAAATTTATAGTAATACATATTAGAAATGGTTTATGTGTTTGCTCCCTAAATCTTTGATATAAAATTTCCTTTTAGATAAATTTATTTAAGTTTAAAAAATGATTATATTTTTTAAACTATATTAAATACCATGGAGATATGACAAGTCATGAAGGCAGAAAGGAAGATGATGAAGTTTGGGATACACTGGGTTAAAGTATGAACTTAGCATGTAAGTAGCAACAGAACAATGCCAAAATGGCCTGTCTGGCCTTTCACATAAAATTGTCTTGTTCAAAGCTGTGATGTCATTTTTTTTATAGAAGCATGACAGTTAAAATATCATGCCATACAAACCCATCAAAATGGTTCATCAAATAATTCACAATTAACACACTGAGAAAATAGATACCATTCCAAGTACAATATTATAAAAATCATAAAATATATAGGATAAAAAAATAACAAAGGAAAAGCAAGAGGTGTTCTGAAAAGCAGAAAACACCATTGAGACATATTAAAGACCTAAAAAAATAGAAAGGTACCCATTGCTCATAGATTGGAAGACATGATATTGTCAAGATGCAATATGCCCCAAATTGATCTATAGATTCAATGTAATTTTAGAAAAGCAAGAGGTGTTCTGAAAAGCAGAAAACACCATTGAGACATATTAAAGACCTAAAAAAATAGAAAGGTACCCATTGCTCATAGATTGGAAGACATGATATTGTCAAGATGCAATATGCCCCAAATTGATCTATAGATTCAATGTAATTTGGGGAAATTCCCCAGTTGGCTCTGTGGAATAAGTAGACAAGCTAATTCTACATGGAAATTAGAAATTAGAAAATTAACATGGAAATTTTAGAGACCCGGGATAGTCAAAACAATCTTGGAAAAGAAGAAACAAGTTGGAGAACTCACATTTCCTGACTTTAAACTTACTACAAATTTACAATGATCAAGACAATGTGGTGCTGGCATAGTTAGATGTATACCATTGGAATAGAATTCAGAGTCCAGAAATAAACCCTTACATGGACTGATTTTTGGCAAAGGTGCCATGAAAACTCAATGGCAAAAGAGTAGTCTTTTCAAAAAATTTTGCTGGGACAAAAGCATATCCATATGTAAAAGAATGAAGTTAGACCCACCTCATGGTGGTGGTGGTAGTTTAGTCGGTAAGTCGTGTCTGACTCTTGCGACCCCACGGACTATAGCCTGCTATGCTCCTCTGTCCAAGGGATTCTCCAGGCAAGAATACTAGAGTAGGTTGCCATTTTTGACCCACCTCATATCATATTCAAAAATTAACTCAAAATTCACCAAAGAACCAAATGTAAGCACTAAAACTATAAAACTCTTAGAAGAAAACATAAGCACAAATCATTGTGACCTTGATTTAGGCATTGGCTTTTTGGATATGACAGGCTTCCCTGGTAGCTCAGCTGGTTAAGAACCCACCTGCAATGCAGGAGACCCCAGTCCAATTCCTGGGTGGGGAAGATCCACTAGAGAAGGGATAGGCTGCCCACTATAGTATTCTTGGGCTTCCCTCATGGCTCAGCTGGTAAAGAATCTGCCTGCAATGTGAGAGACCTAGTTGTGATCCCTGGGTTGGGAAGATCTCCTGGAGAAGGGAATGGCTACCCACTCCAGTATCCTGGCCTGGAGCATTCCATGGACTCTATAGTCCATGGGGTCGCAAAGAGTTGGACACAACTGCGACTTTTACTTTCACTTTTAGATATGACACCAAAAGCACAAGCAACAAAAGAAAAACAAAGATATATTACACCACTAAAGTTAAAAACTTTTACACTAAAAAAAAAAGAGAAAGTTAAAAGACGACCCATAGAATGAAAGAAAATATTTGTAAAGCATATATCTGATAAGAAATTTGCATCTAGAGTATAAAGAATACTTACATGTCAAAAATAAAAAGACAAACCACCCAATAAAAAAAAAATAGCCAAGTAATTTGAATAGACATTTCACTAAAGAAAATATATAAATGACCAACAAGTAGATGGAATACTGGTCAATGCCATTAATCATGAGAGAAATGCAAATTGGAACCACAATGAAATGCCACATCATACTATAGAATAGCTATCAAAAAGAGAGATAATAAATATTGGCAAAGATGCATAGAAATCAAACCCTCATACATTGCTAGTGGAAATATGAAATGATGCAGTTGCTTTAGAAAAGTTTGACATTTCTTCAAAAACTTAAATATCGAGTTACCATATGCTCCAGCAATTCCAATCTTAAGTATACAACCAAGAGAAATGAAATAATATGTCCACATAAAAACTTACAGATGAATGTTATAGAACCTAATAACCAAATAGTATAACTAACCCAAGTGTTTGTCAGCTGATGAAGGAATAAACAAAATGTGGTATATCTATACAGTGAAATATTATTCAACCACAAAAAGAGGTGAGTTATAAAACTGAAATACACTACATGTTTAAATACATTGAAACCTTGAAAATATTATGCTAAGTGAAAGAAGCCAGAGACAAAAATGCACATATTGCTTGACTCAATATATCAAATGTTAGAAAAGGCAAATTCATACCAGCAAAAAGTAGACTAGTGATTGCCAAGGGTTGGGATAAGGGACTGATTGGGAGTGATGGCTAATGGGAATACGGTTTGTTTGGGCAAAGATGGTGATGATAATATTCTGGAATTTGATAGTGGTAATGGTTCTATAACTTTTTTAATATACGTAACAAAGTATATTTTGTATTTTATATTTTAAAAGAGTGAATTTTATGGTATATGAATTATCAGTTCAGTTCAGTTGCTCAGTCATGTCCTTCTCTTTGTGACTCCATGGACTGCAGCATGCCTCTTTAAACAGTATATATTACTAAACTAGGTGCGAACAAACGGAAGTATAGGTGAAGGTCTGAGGCAGCACCGCCAAGCTGGGCACCGGGGAGATGGCCGAGACTGACCCCAAGACCATGCAGGATCTCACCTCAGTGGTGCAGACACTCCTGCAACAGATGCAAGATAAATTTCAGACCATGTCCGACCAGATCATTGGAAGAATTGATGATATGAGCAGTCACATTGATGACCTGGAGAAGAACATAGCAGACCTCATGATGCAGGCCGGGGTGGAAGAGCTGGATGGTGAGAACAAGATCCCGGCCACACAGAAGAGCTGAAGGTTGCTTGTCTTCGCTGGAATCTGGAACACCTTTTTACAAGCCAAGAGGAGACAGATGGCTTTTTCAACTAACTACTATGTGTAGACAGGTTTTATATTATAAAGTGTGCATTCTTCTTACCACATACTATAGAGTTAGTTTATGGAGTGACTTCCCTCCCCTGCCCCCCATGTTTCCTAAACATGGTGACTTCACATCTTGGACCTTGGTCAGTTGTGCTATTAAACAGTAAAACTTTGGCAGTTCCTGCACACAGTCGTCCAACTTTCTAGTGTATTTTTGTGAGGTTATTTTTTTTTCTGTCATTCCCTTTGTAGTAGTTGCTATTTGATAGAAGTTGCTGCGTGATTTTTCTATTAGACATAGACATAGAAGAAACTCTTGGTTATAATTAGATTTTGTGAAGTAAGGCATTTATAGTTAAGGTTCTTTGATTCTCAGAGTGAACCATTGAGTGAATACCAAATAGTGATACTTTGTTGGTGATACTTTTCAATGGTTAAAAACATTTAAAATTGTGTATTCGGAATATCTGGCACTACTGTGTCGCCAAAACTCAGAACTGAACCACAATCTTATATCTGAGTCCCTGAGGCCAGATGCCACAGTAACTTAGAGTGACCACTGCCACTTTAGTATTAGAATTTTTAAATATGGAAAATGACAGAGTTGCCCGATGTGATGAGGCTTTCAGTAGTTAGAGTTTTGCATGAGATTTGAATTCTTCAGTCGGACCCTACATTGTCCATTCACAGTCATTACCATAGGAAATCTGGCAGGATTGTACAACTCAGTTACTCCCAGCTTTTGAGCTACTGGCCAGTAAAAGAAACAGAAGAGGAAAACAGACCATGTTAAGCCCACGCCAGTTGTTTGGCTCGAGGTGATAAATAACTTGTAGTAGGCTTGAGTTTTTAAGAAACACTGCTGCTTTATACTGTTCCTACCTGAATTCAAGCAGAGCAGTGGCTTTATTCCTGATGATGCTGCTCAGCTGAGTGTATCAGGAGTTTTGATCCTGGAGGCAGTGTTGACAGGAAGGGGAACCACGTGACTGTCGCAGCAGGGTGATTTTGTAGAGAAAATGGAAGAAGTTGAGGAATGAATTAGTGTTATGGAGAGGAAAGCCCATAGTCAACACAGTATGATTTTTTTTAAGTTTCCTATGTCACCAGTCTTAATTGTATTGGAAATGTATAATAAGATTAAGGAATAATGTGTCCTGTTTATAAAGTATCCAGGGAGCACAAAGGATTCAGTTTCTTCTGGACAAGATGGATTCCCCGCTGTTAGCCCCGAGCTGCAGAAAGCCCTTCACTGGGCGGGTGGGTCCTGCTGTGGGTTTGGCCCTGAAAGCCCAGAGCGTGCTGGGGCGGGACAGGAGCTCATCCAGGTGCTTCCAAGCCTGGGAGATGGCAAGTGGGCAGTCGGGTGTGAGGAGCTGGCTTCCTTAAGTAACAGGAAGTTTTCAGAGGAAACTGCCCTGACCAAAAATACCTGCCATGAATAAATGTGCCTGAAATCCTGCAAAAAAAATAAAAAATAAATAAATAAACAGTATATATTACTAAACTAGTAGCATTAGTTTCCATTTTTAAAAATATGCATTAGCTTTGTTTCTTGTTTCCCTAGAATGATGTTCAAAGAATAAAAATAAGCCAGAGTCAAGTACCATGAATATATAACTAGTACTTATTAGTTTCTTACTGCTGCTATAACAAATTTCCAGAAATTTTATGGCTTAAGATAGTCAAAATTTATTCTCTCATAGTTCCAAGCCTAGGATTGCTAAATGAACATTTTAGGGAGACCATATTCCCTCAGGAGGCTCTAGGGGAGAATCCTTTCTCTTTTGCAGTATCTGGTGACTGACTATGCTCCTTGACTTGTGGCCACATAATTCTAGTCTGTGCCTCCAGGGCCACACTGCTTTCTCCTCTTCTGTGTCTAAGATTCTTCCACCTCTCTCTTACAGGTCACTTGTGATGACATTTAGAGCCTATCAAGATAAAGCAAGATAACCTCCCTATCTCCCTTTTTCTATAGAAGGCAACACTCACAGGTTCCAGGCCTTAGCACATGATATGTTTGGGAGAAATTATTCCATTCATTCTACCTTCAGTACATTGCAGCATTGATAAGTTTTAGTGACTCAATGTACATGAATCTGACCAAACTCCAGGAGATGGTCAAGCACAGGGAAGCCTGGTGTGCTGCAGTCCATAGGGTCACAAAGAGTCAGACATGACTTAGCTACTGAACAACAACAATAATACAATCTACCTGCTGTTGTGCTGTATGAGAGTATTACTTTAAAAATTCATCCTTTTTGGAATCTAGACTGCAAAAGAAGTAAACCTCTCACTGTTTGCAGATGACATGATACTATACACAGAAAACCCTAAAGATACCACTAGAAAATTACTAGAGCCAATCAATTAATTTAGTAAAGTTGCAGGATATAAAATTAATACATAGAAATTCCTGGCATTCCTATATACTAACAATGAAAACTCAGAAAGAGAAATTAGGGAATCAATTCCATTCACCATTGCAACCAAAAGAATAAAATATCTAGGAATAAACCTACTTAAGGAGACAAAAGACCTGTACACAGAAAACTATAAGACACTGCTGAAAGAGATTAAAGATGACACAAACAGATGGAGGGATGTATCGTGTTCTTGGATTGGAAGAATCAATATTGTGAAAATGACTATACTACCCAAAGAAACCTACATATCCAAGCAATCCCTGCCAAATTGCCAGTGGCATTTTTTCCACATAACTAGAACAAAACAATTCACAATTTGTATGGAAAGGCAAACGATCCCAAATAACCAAAGCAATTTTGAGGAAAAAGAAAGGAGCTGGAGGAATCAACCTTCCTGACTTCAGACTATATGACAAAGCTACAGTCATCAAGACAGTATGGCACTGGTACAAAAACAGAAATACAGATCAATGGGACATGATAAAAACCCCAGAGATAAACCCACATATCTATGGGCACCTTATCTTTGACAAAGGAGGCAAGAATATACAATGAAGAAAAGACACCCTCCTCAATAGGTGATGCTGGGAAAACTGGACAGCTATGTATAAAAGAATGAAATTAGAACACTGCCTAACACCATACACAAAAATAAACTCAAAGTGGATTAAAGACCTACATGTAAGGCCAGATACTATAAAACAGAGGAAAACACAGGCAAAACACACTTTGATAAAACTCACAGCAATAGCCTCTTTGACCCACCTCCTAGAGTAATGCAAATAAAAACAAAAATAAGCAAGTGTGACATATTTAAACTCAAAAGACTTTTCACAGCAAAGGGAACTATAAACAAGATGAAAAGATAACCCTCAGAATCAGAGAAAATAATTGCAGATGAAGCAACTAATGATTAATTTTCATAATATGTAAGCAGTTCATGCAGCTCAATACCAGAAAAATAAACAACTCAATCAAAAAGTGGGCAGAAGACCTAAACAGACATTTCTCCAAAGAAGACACAGATATTGAAAACAAACCTATGAAAAAATGTTCAGCTTCACTTGTTCTTAGAGAAATGCAAACCAAAACTACAATGAAGTATCACCTCACACTGGTCAGAATGGCCATTATCAAAAAACTACCAATAATAAATGCTGAAGAGCATGTGGAGAAAAGGGCAATCTCTTGCACTGTTGGTGGAAACTGATAAAGTCACTATGGAGAACAGCATAGAGATTCCTTAAAAAATTAGTAATAAAACTATCATATGACACAGTAATCCCACTACTTGGCATATACCCTGAGAAAACCATAGTTGAAAAAAGACACATGTACCCCAATATTCATTGCAGCACTATTTACAATAGCTAGAACATGGAAGCAATCTAGATGTCCATCAACAGATGAATGGATAAAGTTGTAGTACATATATACAATGGAATACTACTCAGCCATAAAAAGGAATGCTTTTGGGTAAGTTCTAGTGAGATGGATGAACCTAGAGCCTGTTATACAGTGTGAAATAAGTCAGAAAGAAAAAACAAATTTCATATATTAATGCATATATATGGAATCTAGAAATCAATAGTACTGATGAACCTATTTGCAGGGCAGAAATAGAGACAGACACAGAGAACAGACTTTGGATACAGAAGGGGAAGGAGAGGGCGGGAAAAATTGAAAGAGTAGCACTGAAACATATACATTCAGTTCAGTTTAGTTGCTTAGTCGTGTCTGACTCTGCGACCCCGTGGACGGCAGCATGCCAGGCTTCCCTGTCCATCACCAACTCCTGGAGCTTGCTCAAACTCAAGTCCATCAAGTCACTGATGCCATCCAACCACCTCATCCTCTGCCTTCCCCTTCTCCTTGCACCTTCAATCTTTCCCAGCATCAGGGTCTTTTCAAACGAGTCAGTTCTTCACATCAGGTGGCCAAAGTATTGGAGTTTCAGCTTCAACATCAGTCCTTCCAATGAATATTCAGGACTGATTTCCTTTAGGATAGTCTGGTTGGATCTCCTTGCAGTCCAAGGGACTCTCAAGATCTTCTCCAACACCACAGTTCAAAAGCATCAATTCTTCAGCGCTCAGCTTTCTTCATAGTCCAACTCTCACAACCACACATGACTCCTGGAAAAACCATAGCTTTGACCAGATGGATATTTGTCAGCAAAGTAATGTCTCTGCTATTTAATATGCTGCCTAGGTTGGTCATAGTTTTTCTTTCAAGGAGCAAGTGTCTTTTAATTTCATGGCTGTAGTCACCATCTGCAGTGATTTTGGAGCCCAAGAAAATAAAATTTCTCACTGTTTCCATTGTTTCCCAATCTATTTGCCATGAAGTGATGGTACCAGATGCCATGATCTTAGTTTTCTGAATGTTGAGTTTTAAGCCAACTTTCTTACTCTCCTCTTTCCCTTTCATATAAAGGCTCTTTAGTTCTTCTTCACTTCCTGCCATAAGGCTGGTGTCATCTGCATATCTGAGGTTATTGATATTTCTCCTGGCAATCTTGATTCCAGCGTGTGCTTCATCCAGCCCGGCATTTCACATGATGTACTCTGCATATAGGTTAAATAAGTAGAGTGACAATACACATTACCATATGTAAAATAGATAGCTAATGGGAAGTTGCTGGATAACCCTGGGAGCTCAACCTAGAGGGGTGGGATGAGGTGGGAGGTTGGGAGGAAGGCTGAGGAGGGAGGGGACATGTGTATGTTTATAACTGATTCACATTGGTGTATGGCA